AGCTACAGAACTCTGAGACAATGTACTCAAGGCCACAGCTGTGGAGGTTACAGCACTCTCAGCATTGGTACTTGTTGTTGTATTTGTTTTCCACATCAAAAGTTTCCTTAAGATTTACCTATTCATATTTTAGTTGCTGAGCTCTGTTTAATGGTAGACATGGCTCATACTCATGCTTATTTAATACATATATTTCTCTTTGCCTGACTTATCTTGGCTCGGTAAGTAGGTAGTAAAAACCAAGACTCCTCTGTGTAATGATGTACAGAATAATGAAAGTTCTGTGTTCTGATATCAAACTCATATCTAATGGAATTTAGTGTCTGACAAGCTTGATAAAGTAAGCTGGGACAGACTGCAGCACGTTCTGCATGGACATTCAGTGTTAGGTAAATGACTGTAAGCTGTCTCAATGAAGTATTACTCTGCATGACATGTAACTTTTTTACATTATTGCAGAACTGTTCTAAAGATTTTGCATCCATTCTGTGTCTTAAGTCATCTAATTAATATCAAACTTTGCAGTAAGCAGAAGTCTTGAAGTGCATTTGAATGCTTCCTGTCTGGAGTTTATTTTAGATTACTTATGTGGTACCTCTTAATTTGATCCCAGAGTACTTTGAAACTTTGTAACAGAACTTATGTTCATTCAGTGTCAGGCAGATATCATTATATCCTTTGTAAAAGTGAGTGAGCTCAAAATCAGAGGGGTGAAGGAAGCTCCATACAAGTGAGTGGCAGATCTAAGATCTGCCTGAGGCCTGCTGTTCATAGAGAGCAGGTTCATTTTTTGTATCAAGGCCAAGTATTCAAAACCTACAGAAATCAACAGACTAGCTTGACTGATTGGTATTTAGTATTCTGTCACAAGACAGCATCAGTGATCAGCCATTAAAAATTGCCCTTTATGATAAAAGTGACTGTTAACTAAGATGAAATCCACCTAATGTTGTTTTGTGCCAAAACCAAAGCTGAGTCATGACATGATTCTTTGTCTTTATAACTGGACTTTTCTAAATAAACCTTTTGATCACTGAAACTAGTTATCTATGAGAAAAAGATACCTCTTGTACAGATAATGTGCCTCTTTAACTAGGTTTGTAGCAACCTACCTGTATTGCTTCATGTGTGAAGAGCATTCATGGTAGCATGGCTAACTCCCTTATCATGCAGGCACTCTCATCTAGCCAGATTTTATTCAATAAGCAGAATTGTAATTTGTACAGCACAGTGAGCTTAAAGAAGTTATATTGCGTGATCAAATTAATTCTAATAACTTTTGGTGAGCTGCCACTTTGGGTTATACTGAGGCATTGCAACTAATTTAGAAACAAATTCATGTTAGTGTATGTTAAACGTTAGGCTTAAATGCTGCTTTTTTTCACTTTAAATCCATTTTTATAGGAAGGGATAGTGTATGGCCACTAATGTTTTTTGAATGATGCTTGGGTTTTAGAAGGGCAATGGTGCATGTATTTGTACAAACATGTTCAGTATGTGAATATGTGTTTGTGTACTCTTGTGTATTTATTTATAGTTTTTTTAAAGAGTGGGATCTTTAGGCTAATGCTGAAAATGTGGAGCTCAGCCACTTGTGCAGAATTTTGTGCATGTTTTGCTGCTCTGACCTAAAGGATGGGGAGACATACATAAGACAGAAATATTTCTTTAAGAACATGTGGAGGGTTCTAGCAACAATTACACAGAAATGAAACATTTTCTTGAGAGTCTAGTCCTTTAGCAGGGCACTTCTTTCTGAACTTTGCTTTTCTCTCAAAATGTCTTTGGCCTGGATTTCTCCAGAGTTTCTCAGGATTGAGGATGACTTCTCAGTTCACAGATCTACCTTACCTTTTTGCTTCCTTGTTTGTTCTTTTTATTTTATTTTTTTTTCTGGCTAGAATTCTTACTTGAATGAGCTGAGCTGTTTCTTTCCACAGAGCACAGTTGTTTTGGCATTTTCATAGGACACAATAATGTGTCCAACCCAAGTAATATTTAAAAAAAGAATTACTTTTGCTTCTCCATTTTGTGCTGGTTTGGGCTGAAGTAGAGTTGACTTTCTTCCCAGTGGCTAGTACGGGGCTGTGTTTAGGTTTTGTGCAGAACACAGAGTTGATAATGCAGAGATGTTTTTGTTATTGCTGAGCAGAGCTCACACAGAGTCAAGGTCTTTACTGTGTTCTGTACTGCCACACTAGCAAGGAAGTTGAGGGTGCATGGGAGATTGGGAGGAGACACAGCTGGGACAGGTGACCCAAACTGACCAAAGGGATATTCCATACCATATGACATCATGTTCAGTATATAAGGTGGGAGGAAGAAGGAGGAAGGGGGGACATCTGGAGTGATGGTGTTTGTCATCCCAAGGAACTGTCATGTGTGATGGGGCCCTGCTCTCCTGGAGATGGCTAAACACCTCCTGTCTGTAGGAAGCAGTGTCTTAATTATTTGTTTTGCTATGCTTGTGTGTGCAGCTTTTGCTTTCTCTATTAAACTCTCTTTATCTCAACCCATGAGCTTTCTAGCTTTTACCCTTCCTATTCTCTCCCCCATCCCAGGGGTGGGGGAGTGTGTGAGTGGTTGCATGGTTCTTGGCTGCTGCTGGGGTTAAACCACAACATATTTCTATTCAATATGCAAAATCCATTACTTGATAATTGACTCACTTGCCCTGGCAGACCTACTCGTACCTAGGAAATCTTCCCTGTTGTGATTTAGTCGATATCCCAAACATAGTGGGTGCATTCAGCTGCAAGCTTGATCTTTCATGCTCCCAAGGTCTTTGTCCTTACCTGCTCTAGCTGTAGGGTTTTTTTTTCATTTGGATGATACCTTACGTGTAGGACTCTTTTCTTTACATTTTGTAGCAGATGTGATTGGGTGGATGTGATTTTTCCATAAGACATGTTCAGTGGGACCTGTTGCTTCTGGGTGGCAAAAGTCTGCTTTGAGTTTTCTGATACTGACTGAGCTTTTCCTCTTGGAGCATTTTTTCTGCTGTCTTTCATAGTATTTGCATAACTCTTCTTCAGTTCTTTTAATAATTGATCTCATACAGTTGTTACCATGTTTCTTGTACTCTGCATGAAATAGAAGTGCTCACATTTTTTCCTGCTGTGAAGCTTCATAATGTGGTTGATGGACTTCTTGCTGTGGGCAACATATACATACCATGATAATGTGTCTTGGTGTAGTCTGCCTTGAGTGATTTTCAGATTTCTGCTCACGTTGGAAAATTGTGCTATATCAGCAGCAGTTCTGCTTGACTGCTAGTTGAGTGGGCCTGTGCAGTTCTAGTGATGTCCTATGTTGATGTATTTGCAGTCCTTTTCCTAATGTAAGTATTCATTCCAGGTAAATAGATAGTTTGTCATGATAATCTGCAACAAGGGCTGTTATTCTTGGTTACCCCAGTGATAGCACCTCACTGGTGGATACAGTCTCAAAATAAGATGAATCATTCCTGCCTCTATCACAGGTATCTTCAGCCTCACTGCAAGTTATATTCTGCATATGTCCATTTGCAAACACAGATCAGTTGTCCTTTCCACCCCCAGTGCTGATCTAAGGGCTGCTGAGCTGAAGGAAGTTTTTGAAAGATGTACAGCCAAACCTTCTAGCAAGGCATCTCCTGATCTAGAGCTGATATGTTGCTGCTCATCACAATTTCTGCCATAGTTTCTAACATTTGTCTGTGAACAGTGGATGGAAAAACTCAAACAGCT